TAATTGTTTTATTTAAAATATAAATTAATTTTCGATGTGCCGTTTTTATTTTATTTTATTATAAAAAAATAAACAAATGGTTTGTTTTGCCGTTTTAGGGCTATATATTAGGGCTGTTCATGTAAACACAGGAAAAAATTTTTTTCTCGGATTTGAATGCATAGTTGTTTATTTTGTGCCATTTGACATAGTAATTGACTGTGTAAAAAATCTTTCCAATCAGATAATGTTTAGGGGGTGCTCAATGACCATAAAGTTTTACGAAAAACGTCAAAAACGTGGAAAAAGTTCCAAAGTTCCAAAAATTTCTAGAACCTGGTTAGTTAGATTTTTTCCACTGAAATATTGTCTGATTGCGTGCTATATAGATTAATTAAAGTGCAGCAGATTAACTGTCATCAGGGCGCCAGACTAAAAAATGTCTGCTAGTGTTTAAAACAACTGTGTTTATATCATTTTGTTAAAATTTGTATTCATAATTTTAATACTATTATTTAACTCAATTTAGAATTTGTTCAAAGAGAATAAAAAGGTTTACAAGTATAAATATTATTTTTATTTGGAATTTCAGTTTAACAACAAATGTATTAATATTTTGATAGTACCTAACCTTAGTAACCTATTACAGAAAACTAGCATGGTAGTCTGGTAGTGTATTGTTTGTTATTAAGTGCAGATAATAATAATTTCTAATTTGAAAATATTTATTTAATTTCTTTAGTAATAATTATTATTATATATTTCTGCAGCTGCATAAACCAACAACTGAATGATAAGTTTGTATAATATGGTATTGAGTTTTGATTTTTTTCATAATTTTTCAGTTATCATTGAAATGGCAGCATCATCTCGTGTTGCTATCTCTACACGACTTCAAACCGAAATCTTTTTAATTGGACAACCAGAGCCAAATCTTCCAGATAAAGTTCTTCCCTTAACATCTGATGTTTTAAAAACATTTTTTTATCATCTTAATTCAACCAAAAAGTCAGTGCCTGAAAGCCTTAAAACAACTGTTGATGAACTGATTATTATTTGGAATAAAGCCCGTATTCCGACAGCATTTCATCCGAATGTAGTCTTAAAGTTGAAAACTTTAGTCCAGGAATTTAAATTAATAAAAAAAAAAAAATCCAGATTCTCAGAAATCAAGAGAGAAATCATTTACAGACACCATTGGCCTACTTTTTGACATTGCCCACAAGGATACTGAAACTATGATCAGAATTGAAGAAGATAAAGAATTTTTATTGGATCAGAGATGTCAGAGAAAAATGGTGATGTTTGGAGAGGACAAAGAACTTTCAAAATTAGAAGCAAGAAATGAAGCAAGGAAACAAGCAGAGAGAGAACGAAAGCTAAAAGAAGAGCAAAGACAATCTGGTGCGAGTGCAATAGTTCCTGTTATTGAACCTTTACATGACCAAAGTTATAGTGATGACAACGATAACGATGCTGTTGATAATGACAAAATGGTTGATAGAGATTTTGAGATAGAAATCCCTGTTTATTACAGACAACAAGTCAGTAAAGCAAGTTCTTCAGGGTCAGCTGAATCAAGTTTAGCAAGTACTCCAAAACGACAACGTATCTTAGATACAATTCTTAACTCGCCTGATGTTTCATCAACATTAGACAGAATTAATCTATCTGACACAAAATTTACTATACTAGCAGCAGCAATTGCAAGGGCTGGTGGACAGAACCTCGATGATGGATCATTGTCACGTTCTACAGTCCGTAGAAAACGAACCTATCATCGATCAAACATTGAAGCCACTGTTCGAACTGAATTCTGCGATTTGGACAAACCACCATTAATCGTCCACTGGGATGGCAAACTGATGATAGATCGTACAAATTCTGCAGACCCTAAAGCAAATGTTGACCGGCTATCTGTAGGTGTGACAGGTCACAATGTTGACAAAATACTTGGAATAGCAAAACTATCAGCTGGAACTGGAGAAGCCCAAGCAAAAGCAGTTATTCATCTGCTTAATTTCTGGGACATAATTGGTGATGTTATTGGAAGGAGTTATGATACTACAGCCTCTAACACTGGCTCCCAAAATGGTGCATGTGTAGTTCTAGAGAAACATATAGGTAGAAATTTGTTATATTTTGCTTGCAGACACCATGTTCATGAGATCATAGTAGCAGGAGTGTTTGGATCACTATTTGGACCATCATCTGGTCCCAACATACCTCTTTTCCAGAGATTTCAGCAATATTGGCCCAAAGTTAATCAAGGAAATTTTAAACCTCTGGATGACATTCGAATGAAAATACCCCTGGTGCAAGAACTACAAAATGAAGTGATGGCATTCCTCAAAGAAAACCTGCATGTTAAAATGCCAAGGGATGACTACAAAGAAGTCATGGATCTCTGTCTGTTAATACTTGGAAAACTGCCTGATCAAGAAGAGAAAAATTATCATTTCAAAATCCCTGGTGCTTATCACATGGCTCGCTGGATGGCCAAGGTTATTTATTTTTTTAAGATTTATTTATTTCGTGAAGAGTTCAAGTTGACCACAAAAGAGGAAAAAAATCTCTGTGAATTTTGCTTATTTGCTAGTCTGGTTTATGTAAAATCTTGGATATCATGCCCAAATGCCAGCGATGCTCCAGTTAATGACTTGTTTCTGTTTCAGCAACTTAAGCAGTTTGCAGTTGTGAATAAAACGATTTCCGAAGCAGCAGTCAAGAAATTTCAAAACCATTTGTGGTACCTTTCACCAGAATTGGTCCCACTAGCTTTGTTTTCAAACAAACTTAAAACGGAAGAGAAGCGAAAAATGATTTCCAACATGAAATTTTACAGTGAGAACTGGTCTGAAAGGTTGATCAAATTAAAGAACATTGAAAGTCTAGAGAAGAAATCTCTGGACATGCTGGTGACATCAGTTTCAGCAAGTGCGTTGCGGTCAATGAAGGTTGATATTGATTTTCTGTTCAACAACGATCCAGCTACCTGGAATGATTCCCCAGAATACCAAGAAGGAAAAAATTTAGTATATTCATTGAAAGTAGTAAATGATGCTGCCGAACAATCTGTGGCTTTAATGTTGATGTTTAATGAATCGATTACAAGGAATGAATCTGAAATGCAGAGGTTAACTCAGGTGGTTGAGGATCACAGAAAGCGAGTGCCAGATGCCAGAAAGTGTACTCTGAAGAGTTATAGTCCTTGCTAGCATTAACATTGCACGAACTATAACATTACGATAATTAAATGTTAATTGCTCATATGTTTTTGAGTTGACCTACTTAGTAGTTGATAACGGTTTGAGAAACTGTTACACCTTTACAATAATTTTTTTTGTTTATAATTGGTATTTTAATCAATGACAAAGAGTCAAAAATCTTAGTGTTTTATTTTGGAAAAATTCTGATATAACAAAAACCGCACAACTTTAGTCGTATTGCAGTATTTTATTTCATTAATTTCTCTGCTAATAAACCAGTATAAAGTGGATGTGGATTGTAATTTGTATTCAGAATTTAATATTTAGAGATAATTAAAACTGATCAAATCTGAAAAATCTAATTAACCGGGTTTTAGAAATTTGTGGAACTTTGTTACTTTTTCCATGTTTTTCACATTTTTCGTAAAACTTTATGATCATTGAGCACCCCCTAAACATTATCTGATCGGAAAGATTTTTTGCACAGTTAATTAATATGTCAAATGGCACAAAATAAACAACTATGCAGTCAAATCTGAAAAAAAAATTTTTTTTGGACAGCCCTAATATATATATATATATATATATATATATATATATATATATATATATATATATATATATATATATATATATATATATATATATATATATATATATATATATATATATATATATATTCATATATATATATATATTCATATATATATATAATATATATTCATATATATATATTCATATATATATATATATATATATATATATATATATATATATATATATATATATATATATATATATATATATATATATATATATATATATATATATAACTCACTACAAATAATCAAGTCAATATAAATAGATGGATAATAAAAGGATGAATATTATATATATATATATATATATATATATATATATATATATATATATATATATATATATATATATATATATATATATATATATATATATATATATATGTATATATGTATATATATATAAATATATATATATATGTGTATATATATATATATATATATATATATATAATTATATATGTGTATATATATGTATATATGTGTATATATATATTTATATAAATATATGTTTATATCCTCACTTGTTATAAAATTATTCGCTTTATCCTGCCCCGTCTGACCATTTGCTAATTTTTACTGTTATTTCTTATATATTTCTCCCATATTTCTTTACTATTTCTTTCATATTTCTTTGCTATTTCTCCTATATTTCTTTACTATTTCTCTCATATTTCTTTAACATTTCTCCTATATTTCTTTACTATTTCTCTTATATTTTTTTACTATTATTCTCCTATATTTCTTTACTATTTCTCTTATATTTCTTTACTATTTCTCCTATATTTCTATGCTATTTCTCTTATATTTTGCTGTGATTTTTCCTCCTTCCATACCTTACATTAATCTAGTTTCTTCTCCAACTCTCACTTTTAATAATTAATCTAAAAAAAATAAAAAGTATAAAATTCTTGTAAAATATTTAAGATGAATGAATGAAAACTTCCATAATGCAGTTTATATTAGTTAAATGTGTATATTAATTAGATATACACGTACACAGTATATACACATTCATAGTATATATACATTTTTGTTAAATTCAGAATTATTTTAGTTTAATTGAGATATCTAATTAAGATTTTTTTGGAGTTTTTTCAAAATTTAATTACAGTTTTTTCAAAATCTGGAATTTTGATGAAACTTAAATCAATTCCTTGCATATTGTAATAAAATTTTTAAAACATTTTTTTGATAGTTAGGTATGTTTTAGGCTAATTTGCGTCGTCTTCAGGAAAATATGCAGATTGCTGAAGCTGAAAGTTCTGAAGAAAATCATGAAAAAAAAAGTAAATATTTTTTTATAAATGTTTTGAAAATGGTTATTTGTTAAGTTTTCATTGGTTGATTTTTTATAAACTTAAATTTGTTCATAGTTATTAAAATAAGCTTAAAATAAAGTAATTATAAATACAAATAAATTTATAAATTGAGAGTACTGCAAAAAAAAAAGTAAGACTTATTATTAACTTAAACTGATTTTGTTGACATTTTCTGTTTTATAATTGATAATGAAAAATTAATTCATAAAAAAGCAGGAAATGTCAACAAGGTATCAACCTTAATAGATACTATCTTTGCAGTGGAATGTATATGTAAAAATTTTTCTTTTTTATTAATATAAAAGTTTTTAAACTTTTATTAATATAAAAGTTTTTAAACTTTTATTAATATAAAAGTTTTAAACCGCTAAAATTAGTGTGTGCCCCAAGCTATCATAGAAGGGAGGTCACATTTAAGCGACCTCCCCTGTATGATAGCTAGGGGCACACACCTTGTATGATAGCTTGGGGCTTTATATGTGTGTATACATATATAAGTGTGTTTATATATATATATATATATATATATATATATATATATATATATATATATATATATATATATATATATATATATATATATATATATATATATATATATATATATATATCAAGCCTTTCAAGGAAGTGTGTGCGGTTGCACGCCTTGAGTAATTTTTTTAGACAACTTAACCATATTTTTATATAATAAGCGTTTTAAGAAAAAAAAACGTGGTAAAACAAACTAGAGAATAAAACAGCAATAATTGAAGAAAAGAACCAGCAAAAATGCAAAACAGAAAATCTAAATATAAAAAGCTAAAAAAAATTTAATAAAAAAAAAATTATTTTCAAAAGAATAATATACCTAAATATTTTACACTTTTTGTTTTCTTATTTTTTCAGGCGTTTGTTATTTTACACAACTTAAATTGATACAAGTCAAGGAAAAAAGTAGAAAAGAATGTAACAAAAATAAAAATATTTTTGATATACAATTTTTTCGCAACTTTTTTCAGTTTTCATAAAGGAAATACTTTATAAATTGCGCTAGAAACATGGACAATTTTTAAGTTTATTTTTCAAATGTCTAAACTTAACTGTTTTTATCAAATCACAGGAAAGCAAGAAAAATAATTGCTGTTTATTTGCAAGCAAAAAAAAAGTTTTAAACAAGTTTTTTATGTAAGAAAATGAAATGCAAAATTTTGTGGGCTAGTGCATTGTTAATATACTGAAATTTTTTACCAAAATTTTCAGAAGCCTATTTAAAATTTGGTCAGTTTTTAAATACATTTTTTTAAACAGCGCAATTGTTATGTTCATAATCTCTAGTAATTCGTATCAACATTGGAAATTGGGCAATATAAAGGATATAATTTCAAACATGCATCAAATGTGTTAAATACATTTTAAAGAAACTATATTATTCTTTTATTTAACTTATTCCATCATTAACAAAATTTATTAATCAAATAATATTTTTTACAAAGAAATAAAATATATCTCTATTATATAGTATTGAAAAAAACGTCAAATATAGCAAAAACTTTTTTAAAAGCGAAAAGACGTAAAAACGAATAAACGTAATAAATTAATTAACGTAAGGAAAAAAATTAACATAGAAAATTAGTTTCTTAATTATATGGACTCTGAAAATTGTGAATAAATTACATATCAAAACTTTTATTTGTTGTTAAATCGTGACTCTAAAAAAAAGAATGCAAAAGTTGTATGAAAATTTTATAAATAAAATTATTTTTTTTAATTTACTTTTTTTAATCATTAAATTTTCTAGTTAATTTAATTAAACTTGATATTTTGTTACAATTTTGTTTTCTATTTTTAGGATTGTTTTATTTTTTCTTTGTAGATAAGTTTAGCTTTTTGCCGCAAAGCCTTGAAACTCTTTTTAAGTTAAAAAGATGCAAACTGCTGTGGTCAGTTTGTCTAAAAAAAAATACTTTAAATGTAAACAAACAAGGTGTGCGACCGAACGCGCCTCCCAGGAAGGTTTAGTATATATATATATAAATATATATATATATATATATATATAATATATATATATATATATATATATATAATATATATATATATATATCAGGGATTATCCTTTTCCGGATATTTTTGGAATTCCAGACATTTTTTCAACTTTTACTTCTTCTGGATATCCAAAACATTTTCTATACAAACAGATATACATTTTTGTAATATATATATTTTTTAAGCTTTTTCACTTATCACCCATAGAAAAACATTAAAAAGTTTGAAGAAAAAAAAAATTAAAATAACTCAGCTAAAAGCAAAATATAGGAAAATATATTCCAAACTTTTTCCGGATATTTACCCAAACAATTTTCCGAAATTTTAAAAATATGATCTGGATGTGTATGTATATATATATATATATATATATATATATATATATATATATATATATATATATATATATATATATATATATATATATATATATATATATATATATATATACATATATATATGTATATATAATATTTAAATGAATAAAAACAACTGATTAGCAACACTTAATGCCCGAAGGCTATCATCAGCTGTGAATTTAAACACATTGTTTATTTTAAAAAACGTAAAGTAACTGTTACAAAAATGTAAAAATTACTGTAAAATGAGTTCATTTTACTCTTAACAAATGCGTTTACCACCACCTCAAAAAAAGCAAATCCAAACTTAAAAGTCCGAAATTCCTTATCTTCAATAACAAGAAAGCCTGGATTAAAAAAAGAATTGTTCAATGTTGCCATTGATGGTGCTGAAGTTGTGAGTTAATAGGCATTTTTATACTGTATCAAATTTCACAGCATTATAACAAAGAAGATTTTGGCCTATTTTGTGAAGACGGTCTTGTTGTATTTATGAACATAAACTGTCAACAAATGGATAAAATCAAAAAGCGTATGACATATATTTTTAAAATCTGCCAATCACCATACAACCTATTATTAAAATTGTTAAATACCTTGATATTATGTTAAATCTAAATACGTTACAATCATAATGTAAACCAGAAAATCAATTAAGCAACCCTCGGCATTAGAGTCGACATTCGGCAATGCAGACCTAACTGCCGACCTAACGTGTTTGCGGTCGGCAAAAAAAAAATCGGTTTTGCCGACCTCGTTTTGATGATTTATGGTAAGACCTTTGTATTTGCCGACCTAATGCCAACCTCTAAAGGAATGAGGTCGGCGAATTATTGCCGACCTCAATTTTCCTGATTCCGAGGGTTGATTAAGGTACATCCACTCTAATTCTAAGGATCCTCCAAGCATAATAAAAGCGAACCCTTCACAGTATAAAACAAAGATTATCTTCCATGTTAGTTAATGAAACTGTCTAAAAAAGCTACTCCACTGTATCAAGAAGCTTCAAAAAAATCGGGATACAAAACAAAGCTTAACAACCACAATTAATCCCAAATCAAAATCAACAAAAAAAATATTGTAAATGTAATATCATTTAGTACAACCCTCCGTTCAGCTTGAATGTCAAAACAAAACAAAAAAACCGCTTTTCTTGCCCTAATTGACTTATGTTTCTCACCCTGCCATAAGCTACTTATAATATTCAACCAAAATTCTATTATTATTTGCTACAGTTGCATACCTATGTGTATATATATATATATATGTATATATGTATATGTATATGTATATATATATATATATATATATATATATATATATATATATATATATATATATACATATACATATATATGTATACATATGTATATATATATATATATATATATATATATATATATATATATATATATATATATATATATATATATATATATATATATATATATATATCCACTTTCCAATATGTTGGTGTTTTAAAAAACAGATGAATTTTCGATTGAAAGTAACTGAAATGTCATTGGTTTTATTTAATTTTTTTTTTATTGAAAAAGGTCACCCACCATGATCCTTGATTACACACTTGCACCCATATGTCAGTCAATTTTTTTTCTTCAAAGTATATCAACCTGGGTCTCGAATAAACCAGAATTTTATAGTGATTTCAAGAATCATAATCTTTTCTACTGAAACATTTTTTTAAAATAACCTTTTCAATTTTTAGTTAAAATTTGTTGGTTTTTTTTGTATATAAAATTTAAGCAATTTATTTTGAAAACTATATATAAAAAAAAATTTATATATATATATATATATATATATATACATATATATATATATATATATATATGTATATTATATATATATATATATATATATATATATATATATATATATATATATATATGTATATATACATTTATTATATATATATATATATATATATATATATATATATATATATATATATATATATATATATTATATATATATATATATATATATATATATATATATATATATATATATATATATATATATATATATATATATATATATATATATACAGTTTCCAATATGTTAGTGTTTTAAAAAACAGATGAACTTTGGATTAAAAGTAACTGAAAATTCATTGGTTTGTTTAATTTTTGAAAAAGGTCACCCACCATGATCCTTGATTACACACTGGCACCCATATGTCAGTGAGTTTTTTTTCTTCAAAGTATATCAACCTGGGTCTCAAATAAACCAGAATTTTATAGTGATTTCAAGAATCATAATCTTTTCTACTGAAACATTTTTTTAAAATGACCTTTTCAATTTTTAGTTAAAATTTGTTGTTTTTTTTGTATATAAAATTTAAGTAATTTATTTTGAAAACTATATATATATATATATATATATATATATATATATATATATATATATATATATATATATATATATATATATATATATATATATATATATATATATACATATACATATACATATATATATATATATATATATATATATATATATATATATATATATATATATATATATATATATATATATATATATATACATATACATATA